TTATAACCCTTACTAAGTAGAATTCTCCTTTCTGTGTTGCCGCAAATGGGGACCGGAAGTATTTTTGCGCAGAACTTCTTTCTGCGTAGGCGGCCTTCGGCCGCGCTTAGGGATTATATCCCTTACTAAGTAGAATTCTCCTTTCTGTGTTGCCGGAAAAGGGGGCCGGAAGTACTTTTGCGCAGAACTTTTCTCTGCGTTTTCGGCCTTCGGCCGCGCTTAGGGATTATAACCCTTACTAAGTAGAAGTAAATAATTCATATTAGAAAAAACGAAATTATCCATATGCACAATTTCAGTTCAAAACCGAAATAATGCATATGGCAAAAACCGAAATAATGCATATGTGAAAGACGAAGGTATGCATACATGCACAGTTTCGGTTGAAAACCGAAATAATGCATATGAAAAACCCGAAGTAATGCATACATGCACAGTTTCGGTTGAAACCGAAATAATGTCTAAATGCACAGTTTCCATATGCGCAATTTCGGTGCCCCTATATTAGACTAAAGAGCGAAATACACCACACAAGCGGTTTGACAAACCAAGCGAAATTTCCCTTTGCTTCAAGCCATTTGTGCTGTGTATGGGGGTGTTTGAAGGTTTGATCAAACCTTCAAACACCCCCATACACAGCACAAATGGCTTGAAGCAAAGGGAAATTTCGCTTGGTTTGTCAAACCGCTTGTGTGGTGTATTTCGCTCTTAACAATAAGCTCGTGATAGTCACCTGCTAATTTACAGCAAACGAAAACATACGAGCATTTCATCTATACCTATCACATCGTTTCTACGTCAACCGGCATGGCATTAAATTATTTGGTAATTGCTTCTAAGCAAACACTTTCACATTTAATTGATAAGATAATTATGAACTTCAAAAGCCAGATTCTGGTTGATTTCACAGCACTCTTACTGCTTACTTTTTTTATTGATGGACACTTTATCTAACGCTTTGTATAAAGTGCTTAAAGAGCGAAATACACCACACAAGCGGTTTGACAAACCAAGCGAAATTTCCCTTTGCTTCAAGCCATTTTTTGACGGCGGTTTGTCAAACCTTCAAACACCCCCATACACAGCACAAATGGCTTGAAGCAAAGGGAAATTTCGCTTGGTTTGTCAAACCGCTTGTGTGGTGTATTTCGCTCTTTAAGCTCTAACACTACAAATAAATATGTATGTATCTATGTAAATATGCATGTTGATCTGTCCATTTAATAACATAAGCAAACAAATAGACAGCTTTTAAATTTCAGCCTTCTTATTTCAGCCATTGTTATAAACTTTGAAATCTTGCAAATTGATGCGCGTGTCTTAATGCTTTCGATTCTTAAATTTGTACTATGTACTTACACATTTGCAAATCGAGAAAAATAGAACAATTTTTATGCGATCATGTTGTTTTGCGTGATCACGTGGCTCAATACGCCGGTTGATCGTCGTATCTCTCTATTTACAATTTTTCAATTTCATTTCAGTTTGCTTAAAATATTTGCGTACTCATTAAGTGCCTATCATTGTCATTTAATTAGCGCATTTTGTTGTTAATTGTTGTGTAAATATTTGCGTCGATAAGCAATGTTATAATCGATGTTTATATCGAGTATATGGCAATGAAATTGGAGTAGTTGTTAAGTGAATTTTTTTTTATTTGAACTTGTGGAAACTTTTCTACACTCGATGTCTTATAGCGTATAAAAATTTGTTGCTAATACATAAAACACTAAAATAATATAAATTTTAAGTGTCCTCCAATTACACCAATATAGCGTTTTTAGATTATGGCAAATGTCACAATGACATTTAGTGAATGTCAAGTCTAGCGATTAGTGGCATCTTAACAAAACTTACAATTTTGTTTAACCAGATTTACGATGAAAATTACCAGACATCTATATTTCAGCTGTGGTTACCATATTTCTCAAGTATAAATAGAAAGGGCTTTCCATCTGCATTAAATGAAATTGTTTTCATTATAAAGTTTACATATTGCCGCATTGTGCAAAACAGTCCATAATTAAATATCGGCCCAGGTTTATAGAATCAAATTAATAAACATACATACAGTGACACAAAAAAGTGACCACGTGTTGATTTTTTTAAATATTCATATTGTGTTTTGAGTGTTTTTTTTTTGTAGTTATTTTCGTATAAAATTTAGCAAAATTCCACAAATTTTCAAATTTCGAAATTTCAAAAATAATCTAAATCTTTAGCACATTTTTTAGGTATGCAGTTTTATAACCCATACAATTTTAGTCCAATGAAGTGCAAGTTTCAACCGGCTAAAAAATCGCGTTAATTTTTATTATTATTTTTTTTTACTGCTTTTGAGGTTTTTATATAACAACTGCAACAATTAATGAAAACTGGCGTTGATTTTTTGTCATTTTATTCCGAACAGTCCACATTTTATTTCAAAAAAAAAAATGCTTCTTATATGGCAAAAAGTGGGGAAATCCGTCAATAAAAATTTATTAAAAATCAAATGCAATTTTTATGCCCCTTGAAACTTAATTTCATATCGTCGCTGAAATGGAAAAAAATACGCAACAAACTAAAACCTTTTATTGCAAAAAACAATGTGGAGATTTACAATTCAATGAAATGCATCATACTCAATCAAAAAGTAAAATTTTGTATTTTTAGTTAGTTATGTTTTTTTTTTTTTTTATTTCAGCGACGACGTGAGATAGGGCCTTTCTTTATTAAGGAAACGATATTTAAAAGCCGAAATTTTGATGAAAATTTGCTGAATTTTACTTACTTTTGTATAAAGTTTGAATACAATTGAGAATATTTTTATAGAAAAATAACAAAAAAAAAAATTGAACTCGACAAACATTATGAATATTAAAAAAAAAAATCTAAACGTGCTCACTTGTTTGAGTCACTCTGTGTCCTTGGACGCCTGGATATTAAGACGAATTGTAAAAGTGGCGAATTAGCAAGGAAATATTCGACCTCATCTTTGGTTGGCATTGGCCAACGCAAAATTTCTTATCAGGCGCCACGTAGGAAGCGTGCTTTGGCTAGTTTTTTTTTATTATAAAGTCACAAGCCCTTGTTTAATTTTGTCGAAAAACCCCAAAAAATATTTTGTTAATAATTTCCTTGTTTTTTTTTCTCATTTCAGATTCTTCCAAATAAACTATAAAAAAGTGCGCTTCCAGCAGTTACATTTCCAAAACAATGCACAGATTTGCGCTTTCTATGATTCGTATGCGAGCATAAAACAAAACAGAAAGTTGGAAAATAATAAAAAAATGGCTACAAAGCAATCATTAGTGAACAAATAAAACTTGTATTACAACGCCAAAAAAAAAAAAAGAAAAAAGTGCAGATGATATTTGTTTGCATTCAGAAAGTGTTTTTGTTTTGTTTTTTTAATTAAGGAAATACAAACGCCACATGTGCAGCCAAAGTCAACAACAAAATCCATAATTGAAGTAGGTGTTTTTTCGAAATAATGTAAAACTGCCGCATCTCTTTTGTTGTTCGAAAATCGATATCAAGTTGAGTTAAAGATCGGTGTTCCTTTTGAATGTACATATGTGTCTTCACATCATTTTCGTTCATTTTTGTTTGGATTTTCCGTTGAAAAAGTCAAAATTTTTCTTGTTTATAAATTAGTGTGTGTCAAAAAGTAACTAAACATTTATTTGACGTATTTGCGCGTTCCGTTGCCTAAACGCATTGTTTAGTGCATACGCGATTAGTGCGAGCGAACGACGAACCTACTACGCCACGCACACGCTCCGCTCTCCACCAACAATAACAGAGCAAACGGCTACGACGACAACGACGCCAAATCGCGTTCGAAGAGTTTTATTTGTTTGTTGCCCGCGAATTCGATTCATTATCAATCTCGTACGCAGCAGGCAGCATAGTGTCGGCCGGTGATGCGTTTTAGTTCCGACGCGTCGTCAAACCGTCATCACAGCTGATAGCGATGAATCCAAATCAACACAGTGGTCCCGGTCCACCGTCACCTAAAGCAATCGCAACAGTTTCAATGAATTCAACGACAGGACAGCATAACTCGTATGTGGGAATTGGTGTGAGTGGTGGTGTTGGTTACGGTGCGGTTGGCGTTGATCAAGTTGACGCTTCGATAATGGCGGCAAAGACATTTGCAACAAAGTGTGCAACAACAGCAACAACAACAGCCACATATGGCGGCATGAAAAGTGCTTACGCGAGTGCAACACCCAATCTGGGGACGATGACAACAATAACTACAACAACAGCAACAGCAACTAATGGTAGTTGCAGCAGCGGCGTTATAAGTGGTGGTGTTGGTGTTGGCGCTGACACGCCCTTTGCCATGACAAATGGGTGTGCCAACAACAATAGCACTATGAGCAGCGGCAGCATTAGTAACAACAATGCTGGCAACAATCATTCTTCGCCACCGCCCGTTGCGCGTACAATCTCGTCAGATCGTCTGGTGACGGGGCCTTCATGCAAAGCACTCAGAACTGCGGTGTCAGCACTTTATTCCGTTGATGACTTTGTCAAGGAGAAAATTGGCTCTGGATTCTTCTCCGAAGTGTTTAAGGTGAGTGTGGAAAGAAAAATAAATAATGGAGAGTTAAACTTATCTATACATACATACATAGCCCATGGCGGCTAGTGCAGCTCACCCCAGCGCTGGTGATAAGTAACTTTATTTAAAAATAATAATTAATAATGTAAATGATGAAAAATTGCAAATGACCTTCAGTGTAGGAAAATTCATAGAAATGGCCTCACCGCCTGCTTCACCTCCGTCACGGCAACACTTTCGTTTCTGCACCCAAATATCTATGTATGTGGTGTATTGGCAAAAAATGCAACACTGGCTGCTTCGTTTGCTCGTAAAATAAAAATGAATTAATTTTTCTTTGCAAAATATGCTTGTTGTCTGTTATATTTATTGCTGATGCATTTCTCAGCAAATCCGTCACATCAAATTAGCAACACAAAGACGTTGGTGTTGCAACATCCATCCATCTTCATTGTTGTACTGATTACTGAACTGCTGCTGCTCGCCGCCCAATGTAACACAAACTTGTAAGTATGTACAAATATAGATATATGTATACATATGTATGTACGTGCAAATATGGATGTCTAGCCTGCATCTTAAATATGAAGGTACATACACATGTATGTATGAATGTATATGCTGCGAGCACGATTGTTTGTATACATACTTCTTAGATGCCTGTATGCATTTGTGTCTGCGGGTATGTGTCTAGGCGCATACAACAACATGTTGCGCTTGAATTAATTCCCAACCGCCGCACTCAACAATCGGACAACAATGCGCACTCAATGCCGTTGCAATTGCCGTTACTTTTGCCGCTGTCGGCTGGTAAAAGTGAAAATTATCCAATCGAATAGCAATGAATTGTACAAACAAAAAGAAAGAAAGAAAGAAAGTTGTTTCACAATTTATACTAAGTTGTAGATATGTATGTATGTATGTACATGCTTACATTGATACATTAAAACAATATTCGTATGTGCACTTTTTCTAGATTTTAATTGCATTAAGCTAGTTAACTATGCATACATATGTATGCGCTGTGCCTAACTGTAATAAATACTACATGCACATAGTTTTTGTTTCATAGAAACTTCATTGAAATAGTGAAACCGTGGGGCGCAAAACTTTAAAAATTTGCTTACAATAGTTGGAGTAAATTTGTTAAAGTGAAAATACCTGGTTTTAAAAAAAAATCCCTTACATTGAGCAATATTTAACCTTAAATGCATTTGACGTAACTTTAAGCGTTTCAAATTGCTCTCGGACCACATAAAAATGTAAATGTTGAACATACGTATGTACATATGTAGAAAAATCAAGCATTTTTGTAAATTTTTTTACAAATAAGTTTGCACTGATAAGAAGGATAAAATTTCATGTCTTTGAAAAGCGGATACATAAAATATTGGCGCTAAAAAGTATCTAACTATCAGCTTTAGAATTGTAAAAAAGTAAAATGCATGCGATTATTTAAACTTTTTGTAGTCCATTTTTTTTTGCCCGCCCTTAAAAACTCATATTTTCGGTTTTTAAAGTACCAAGAAATTACATCTAGTTTTTTAATTCCAAAATTTTATGTCCGATTTTTATATGACCATAAATGTTTGTCCAATTTTTGATGGGCCAAATGTTATGTCCACATTTTGAATTACCTTTCCTTATTTTAAGTTGTCAGAAATTATGCCCACTTTTTACAACCATATTTTTATGATCAGTTTTATCAAAATTTTTATTTTTAGCGGACTTCAAAAAAAAGGAGGAGGTTATCAATTCGTCAGAATGTTTTTTTTTTTAGGTGTGTAACTTTGGACAACGTGAACCGTTAAGTCTTTTTTATCGGAAAGGTGGTACGTGCCTCAAGGGTGGTCCTATATTAATTTGTTTTAGTTCCGATAACTGGATCATGAAAAAACTAACGGTACTACTCCTAAATTTGTGTATTTCAATGCACGGTTGTGTTTTTTTTTGCTTAACAATTACTTGTTTTTTAGTTTTTAAATATGAATTCAAAATTTAATTCCCGTTTTTACTTTCAAGCATAATTGTGGGTTGTTGATCAAACGAAAAATAGGTCTACTCTGTTTATGAAAAGTTAGCAAGAAAACTTTCAAGAATACTTTCATGTATTTGAAAATTTGTGTTAAGCGGCATTGACCGCTCTCTTGGGCATGCTCCTAGTTGAGAGTGGGTCAATAAGGATCTTAAAAATTAAATAAGGAAAACCATACGCCAAAAAACTTTGTGTATCTACTATGATTTTAGCTGGAAGGGTTGGTTCATGCATATATTTCAGATTTATACTTCCGATATTTATTGAGTCTGGGGTGGTTGTTGTAAAGCAGGCAGTCGCCAATTCGCTGCTGAAAAATGCGACATCGATCAAGATTCAAGAAGATCAAAATTTAGTTTGATACCGAGACGATGAAGTGCAATCATCTGAATTTTTCTTCTTTAGCTGCCCGCTTTTCACGAGGCGGAGGTTCTAACAACTTGGCGCGTACGTCTTAAAGACACCACAGTATATCTGGAATACATGTATCAACATGCGCTTCATCTTTTAGGGAATGCCGCACTTCTTTTCCTGTTAGAGTGCATATTCTCCCCCTCCTCCCATTCACTTACCACACAGTCGGCAAAGGCAATTATTACAATTAATATGCATAGAGTAAAATATTTCCATGCGGCGTTCACTGGCTTCTCTACAAAATTAAAATTATAGCAAACAATCGGTCAACCGAACGGTAAATGGCGCGCAGCCACTTAATCACGGCATCATCACGACTTGAGTGTGGTGAGTGGCTTGTGGCGTGTAGCGTGCTGCGACACAAATAATAGCCGAAAGAGAGTTAAAAACTCTCACCGCATTCAAATCATGCAGTGCAACAATAATATTTATTGTGGCAAGCAAAATCGGGTAGCTGATTGGATAGTTTGCTTGTACGCTGGTTCACTGGCTCGTGGCTTGTAAGCCGCTTTGTTTCTTGAGTGGAAGTATGCATTAGAAGTGGCTTCCATGTAGCGCCAAGCTCTTTCCAGCTCACATAAGCATAGCGTAGATACTCGTATTATGTTCTGGTAATAAAAACAATACTTAGTCAATGANCTTTGTTTCTTGAGTGGAAGTATGCATTAGAAGTGGCTTCCATGTAGCGCGAAGCTCTTTCTAGCTCACATAAGCATAGCGTAGATACTCGTATTAAGTTCTGGTAATAAAAAACAATACTTAGTCAATGCAATACGCCAACCAAGCAGCATGCTTCTACTCGAACGCCAAAGCCAAGCTGTAGAAAACCAATTTTCATTCATATGCTACAGCCGTAAAAATGCGGCCGGCCAGAAATGAGGCTGAAAGTCGCTGCTGCAGCGAAGAGAACAACAATAAAGCGCCTTTGCGGCAATAAAATGGNCAATACGCCAACCAAGCAGCATGCTTCTACTCGAACGCCAAAGCCAAGCTGTAGAAAACCAATTTTCATTCATATGCTACAGCCGTAAAAATGCGGCCGGCCAGAAATGAGGCTGAAAGTCGCTGCTGCAGCGAAGAGAACAACAATAAAGCGCCTTTGCGGCAATAAAATGGCGCGCTGTGAGTTTACAAACAGCTTGCACTTAATTTGAGACGTTCGACCACCTCGATGGTCCAGCGTTCGTTCGCTGTGGTAAGCGTCCGCGCCGGGTGCTGCTGCTGGTGGAGGCCATTGTTTTCCGGCGGATGGGCGCCCGCATACCCTCACCGTGCGGACAGTTTTTTATTGTGGCGTCTCATTCCAGCACATCAACAATAAATCGTAAACGTGCAACATGCAGCGCCGCGCAGCACACGCTTAAGACACCAATGCTACTCCGAATAGCATGGAAATTTTAAACCGCCATCTGTGTTTGCCAGCTGTGTCTGCACGACGGCTATAAAAAGCTTGTAGAATTCGGCATAGAACGATAAAACAAATAAGAGCTGCCGCTGCTGCATTGGTTTCGTTCGCTTTGTGGCATTTTTAAGCTGTGAATTATACACGCGTCCATCGCGTTGACCCGTTGTGGGCGGGTAGGTGTCTGCGCAATGCTATCCAAAGTCGGTGGCCACATTGCTCTGTAGGCCATCAGTTTTTGGTTTGGCTAGTAGACTTTCTTCAATAGCGTTAAATTTTTGGGTTGAACTCAATTTTCAACTGTTGCCAACATCAATTGAAAAGTAGCGAAATAATGCTTTAAGCTTAATTGTTGGTGGTGGAAATTTCCGTTTAATAGCTCGTTGCGGTTTTGGCTTCGCTTGACCGCTTTTGGTACTCGTACTTCTTGTGCTGCTGGGTTAGGTACTGAAATGAAAAACCGTAAAAATGCCTATCTTAAATGTTTGCCATATTTACATACGTACATACATAAATATTTGTGCGCATGCAAAAATAGTTCATTCGTCACGCGTTTGTGATTTTTCGCGAATGCGCTTACATATTTACATACGTAAATACTTTTCAGAAAATTGATAGCCATTTACGATTGATGCGATGGCATTTATTATTGCTAATAAAAGCAAAGAATTTAATACTACATATTTTAGTTTAACTCTGCTGAAGCTGATAAAATAAAAGGTAACAAATTCGGCCATTGTCATACTTTACCAATCGGTCTTAGACAAAATGACAAAGCTTACGTCTGGTCCGACATCTTGGCTTTAATTTTTTAACATAAACTACGACCAATTTACTAAGCTAGACCTTGGGAGTATGAACCGTGCTGAGAAATTTAGCCGGTTTCTTTTTGCAGATGCCTTCAAGTTCCATAGAAAGCCCACTCCCAGCAGACAGAGTCGCAACCAACTAACTCATAAGGGATGTACCCCATAGGATGATTACCTCATTCGTTCCGCATCTTCTGCACGACTCTTATGATCAGTGATGCCAACCGGGGAAGAATTCCCCGATTTTGATGGAATTTAAATATTTCGGTTGAATTGGGGAATGGCTTTATATTTTTGGGGAATTAAATATGCAAACGATTTTCATATGAGTATTCCTATTGATTGTAAAATTTGTA